TGGACGGTAGCAGCATGAAAACGCTTTATCAGAGAAAGTGCTGTGTGCTCACTCTTGCGATCGCTCCTGCTGCTTATTGTAGAACTCATCGAGGAGTGTATCCAGGCAAAACTGGGGAAATTGAAGTGCTCGGAGCTCTTAAATTCTCATTTTCCCGCTTCGAATCCGTGGTCAACTTTATTTGTGGTCTCGGCTCCCGCGAAGCTCGAAGCGTTCACGCTCACAAAGTCTCTGTTCAGAGAGAATATGAGTTCGCACTCACAATCCGCATGGTACCCATCGTCTACTCTGACATTTCGAAATTGTTAGTTATAAATGCTCCACCATTTGTGTGCATTGCATAAGCGGAGGATTTCCTCATTTGTATTACATGCACACCGTAGCTGAATAGCGTTAGAGACATGAGAAATTCCGAAGCTTCATGGCATAAGCATTGACGCGGTCCATTTTCTTCCAAAAAACACATGTATCACCTGTATCACCTGTCGTCCCATTCGAGCGGGCGCCGAGCAACGTCTCCATTCGTCCCTGTCGCGTGCAAGAGTTGTCCAGTGGACCCTCCTCGCTCGAGGGACACGATTCCTTTCGTTCAGAGCTTTCGTGAAGAAGTCTGACCATCGGGCCAGGCGGTCGTCCAGCTATGCGTTTGATCCAGTCAGTAACCGCTCTGGTCTAACGGCCATTGTCTTGTCCCACCTATCTTCAATTCCTTTGGCGAAAACGGCAGCGTCCCTGATCGTTGGCGTAGTTCGAACTCCGGATTCCCCTCTGCACTTGCGTGTATAGGGTTACTCCTAGCATCGTCCTCTCGACAGCGCGTTGGATAACGCTGACCGCATGCTCGTCCTGCCTGCGCAGAGTCCAAGTCTCTGAGGCGTAGGTTAGGGCAGGAAGGACAGCGGAATCGAAGAGGTGGGCACGGAGCCGGATGTTCTTCTTCTTCACTACTCCCTCGATGTTCTTGTACGCTCCCCAATGCCGCTCGTTTCCTCCTGCTCAGCTCTGGAGCTAGGTCGTTCATCATATTGATTTCCCGACCTAGGTACACGTAGCTGGAGCATTCGGATGTTCGTTCCGTTGAGCGTGAATGGGGCATCAGGAACCAATCCGTTTCTCATAAACATCGTCTTCGTTAGGTTCAGCTGCAGACCGACCTTACCACAGGCGCAGTCGAAATCAGCCAGCATTCGCTCCGCTTGCTCGATGTTCGGCGTTATAAGAACGATGTCGTCAGCAAAACGAAGGTGGTGTAGTTGCCGGCCGTCGACCTTCACTCCCATGTCTTCCCATTCCAGTTGACGCATGACGTTCTCGAGAGCGGCGCTGAAGAGTTTGGGCGAGATGGTGTCGCCCTGTCGAACCCCTCTCTTGACGTCGATGATGACCTCCTTGTAGAATGGTGAGATTCTGGTCGTAAAGTTGCTGTAGAGCTCACGAAGAATCTTGATGTACTGAGTAGGGACGCCCTGGTTGCCCAAGGCTTCGATGACCGCTTCTGTCTCCACAGAGTCGAAGGCCTTCTTCAAGTCGATGAACGTGAGACAAAGCGGCATCTTGTACTCTCGTGAAACTTCAATGAGTCTCGTAACCGTGTGGATATGGTCGACCGGTCAACCGTCACGTTCGAACATTTTCGGGATTTTATTTGATTCTGAGACCAGTTGACACAGCACCAAACCCTACCTAAAACTCCGAAACTCCACC